TTTTTGATTCAGGTATATAGTGGTGAACCCAAGTTTCGTCTGTAGTAACAAACCGTCGCAGAAAATCAGTTATATTGCTCTTAAAGCGGTCCAAACATTCTTGTGAAATTTGCATACGAACGCGTTTTTGGTCAACTGTAAGCAATCGCGGCACCCACCTTGCGGATAACTTTTTCATACATAATTCTTGAGTCAAAATGTAATGCGCCCGTTCTTTAGAGATGCCTACAGTATCAGCTATCTCGGAAAGTTTCAATCTTCAGCTAAAACTGCATCATGAATTTTGATCACAATTTCTGGAGTAGTGGCACTTTTTGGACGTCCTGCCCCCTTACTCTCGAACGCAATCTCAACCGATCGACATTGCAATTGTGCCGCTCCGCGCACTTGATTGGCGCACTAGGATACTCTGGCGCTAGTGTACCCAATCAAAAGTGCACAACGGCACAATTGCAATGTCGATCAGTCGCGATTGCGTTCGAGAGTAAGGGAGCAGGACGATGTTCATCTTGGGTGCTGGTATGGCCACGTATAAATTCAGGCACCCGATTTTTTATGGTCGCATATGAGCATTTTCTCCGAAAACATCCTTCATCTCCGAAAAAATATCTCCACCTTTCTTTTTCTTTTTAATTCAAAAACTTTATCACAGCTCGTAGCTCAATTTTATCCATTTTGCAGAAAAAACAAAAGAATGCTTTTTGAAATGTCAATATTTAAAAGAAAAACTATACGATCGATTTAAATTTTGGAACACTGGCAGCTAATGAACTAATGAGTAATATACTAAGGAGATTTTATATCGTTATTATACAAAATATGGGTTGGGCTAGTTATTTATCATCCCGCCTACGTAGTTATTTTTTTAGTTATAGTTATAAAAATAAATAGGGATAAAGACTGAGTAAAAAAAATCTATTTAGTCCGTCAGTCAGATAATGGAAATTTATTAGATATTTATTTCTTTTTACTTTAATTTAACAAGAAATAGCTTAGATAACAGGCATTAAAGTTGAGGAGTGGGGGCTCGCTTCGTCAGTTTTGTAGAAAATATACCAAAGTGTGACATCATGTGACATTTTAACTCGAAATTAAATAATTTAATGATTACGAAAAATATTAAAATATACGTATTTAATATTTGTCAACAATTTGCCTGACGGGCAAACAAATCATAATATTCCATCCTCTCCCTATTTAGGACAGAAAATCCGGTTTCGGCCACTTCCCCGTTTCGGCCATTTGAAATGTCAGACGTTCTCACTAACGCATAGACAAATTATATATTGCTTTAGCGTGAAAGGTCTTATAAATGTTGCATTATGGTAAAACTAATACCTGTAACAGCTGAGATATCAAAGTCCACTTCCTCGTTAGTCTTAAAATGACTAAATCTAGGGCATATTTAAAATGGCCACAGCTCGATGGCCAAAATCGGGTAGTTTCTCTTTACGCCCAGCCTTAAGTAATTGGGAGGTTGGAGGGGCTTGATACATTTTACTATTAGAAAATCAGTTATTCTCGCAAACTCGTATGCCTTTTATCACAAAAAATTTGAATAATTTACTGCACGCGTAGTATGACAATTTCGAGAAAAACTTTGTCTACTCGTTTCTTGAGTATAGTTGAGTATAGAAAGGGCGCACCCGAGAAATGTGACAATTGAGTGTAGACAAAACGTTGTCGAGTTCGTCATGCTACGCGTGCTGGAGCTCGATGGCTCTGACCATAGGGAGTCTCGGTCTTTGAAATTTAAGCACATTTCGCTAGGGCAAGTCATAGGATGGGTAACCAAAAATTATAATCTCGAGCTCCTCCGTGCTTCAGAAGGCACGCTAAGCCGTCTTTGCTCCCGGTTGTAGCTACAGTCGTTAACACGCATCGATCCGTTCTGAGCCTGTGCGCATCTTATTATCTACTAAATTAAAAATAGCAACAACCGCTGGAATTTAGTTTTTTAATGGTCAAATTTTCATTCATTAGCAGCGCCATCTGTTGTCGAGTAGATATACTACTACTTTATAATTCATCTCGCTCATGTCAATAGCGAAAATCACTAACAGAATAGTAGACAGGTCATTTTATACTCATCAGTTGGCGCCACTGAGCAGTGAAGTCTTAGGCTCATATCTATAGTCGAGAGAATTACTTGAGAAAATGTCATAACTAAAGTAAATTCAAAAAATAATTTGAATAACGTAAGAATAGTTCAAGTCAGAAGTGTTAATTAAGTTGGTTTCAAGTCTACGCAGCATTTAGATTAATAACTTTGGCTTACCTAGCTATTATTAGGGGCCATTAAGATGAAAATTCTGCATTACGAATGCAGAGTTGATCAAATGTAATGATTTCAATTTTATTTTGGTTTTAATAAAGAAATAATTATGATAATAGCATGAGGAAAGGACGTGAGCTTTTATATCAAAATCGGCGCTGTTAAAGCGAGTCATGAGTTAATTTCCCATTTATCATAGTACATACTAGGTGTTTGTGTGCGACTTCACCCGCTTAAGTTTTAGTCTATATTACCCGTGTATAACGTAGCTTTCCATTGGTGAAAGAATTTAAAAATCAGCCCAATGATTTCGATGATTATTCGATACAAATAAACAAGAAAATCTTTACAATATTAATACACACGAAATAACTATTTTAAGGTTTTTAAATAAATATCACAATAATAAATTGTATAATTATATATAACGGATGGGTAGTCCGAAGGTGCTATTACGAAGCCCAAATAGATCGTCCATATCGGAGGACTATCTTTAAAATAACACTACAGGCGTGTATACCAACGTGGATTTGTTCCTTTTTATCACTTTTCATACGAAAATATAACGAGATGAGCGTGATCTCGTCGGATGTCTTTACTCCTCGGCGATCGGAAAGAGAATGTGTGCAAAAATGGCGGCAACTTGGCTTTTATAAACGAACTGTCAAAGTCAGTGTCACCATTCTAATAAAATTAAAAGAATCGATGATCACGCTCTCTTTACAATCGAGTAATTAAGTAATCGAGTAACTAGCAATTAAAATAAAAGAAACTAAATCAAACGATCTTCGTAATGATGATGCGACATATATATGTTTTATTATAAATTATATAGGCTACATTATAAAGTAGTAAAATTATATCATTATTAGTCAAATAACTTAAATTATTCTTAAAGCTTCTCTGAGCACTGATTTCATATAGAATACAAACAATTTGCAGAATTATCATGTTGTAAATAGTTAAAAATCAATTTATTAATTTTAAAATAGATTCACACATATGGCTTGCGAGCGGTGATAGACACGGCAAAGTAAAATCAAACTATTTTGTCTGCTATATTTCGATTGAGATAATTTTGATTTCATAATAAGTCCATGAATCAATCTTACTAAACCAAAAATATAAATCTACACCTTATATCGATTGAAATATATGAGTTATGGTATATTAATATTAGTTTTCATTGAGATAATTAAGCTCTATTCACACATGTTAATGAAATCACATATCTGGCACAGAACCGCATCAATGTTACATTATTTTTCTATTTTCGTAAAAAGGTATAAAAAACCTTTTGTAGCATTTTTGTGGTCTGTCTTAGTAAAGATTAATTGAAAAAGTTTGTTTACTAGTTTTTGAGGGTTGGAGATTCGGTAAGTAAATTTGTTTTAGTTTGTAAAAAAAAAGTAATATTGCATGTGGTAATTACCTGTAATTGTTTTGATATATTTCTTCTTGTGAGCTAAATCTAATTATGATGGTATGTAATAATGTATTTAATGTTGGTAAATCAAAATAAATTAAAAAAAAAAATTTAAAAAGCAGCAGTTCTATTATAACTGATAAGTATTCTGTATGGCAAAAATCGAAATATTTCCTTCTGACTTCTTAATTGTGATCCAACAAATGAAACTCGGTAAATTGCCGGTGCGGTTGCTAACACTGACGGGTTTATAAGCAACGTATAATAGAATAATTGTCACTGATGCGGAGCCGTGCTTTAATTGATGTATCGCCGATAAGTGTGAATAAAGCTTTAGCTTTTCACCTGATTTAATTTTTATTTTCACTTAATTAACTGATGAACAGAAATGCAAATGTACAGTCAACAGCTCGTTAGGTTATACAAAAAATTCTAATATCTCCACTTGATTTTAAACTTTGAAGTATTAAGGATAAAGTTCAAAAACAAAATATGAGATTTTGATGTATTGTCGTGACCTGACGTACAGATGTGTGGTATAATACGTTTATACAGATATACGTTTCTTTCCTCGAAGTACTGCAATATTAAATCTTGAATAACGAGAAATTATCTTTGATTATACAATTTCAAAGTTCAACTTTCTATAAAAACTACGTATTAAACTCTTATATCTATTTATTTATTAGTAACAAAAATAGTTATTAGCCTTATAATCAAATGGAAGGAATATCGCCTGAAAAGACACATCTTTTTAGATTAGATCAATAATTTTATAAGCACCATTATACGATGAAGACACTATCTGAAACAAAGATATTAGATATTTTAATATAAACCAAAATATATGTGTTGCCGCAAAACTCGGGAAGTAGTGAAACAATATTTATATGCTTTTTATCCATTTTGCAACATAGATTTTATATTTATTTAATAAATAAATGAAAGTACGCAACTTTATTATAACGCCAATTATAATACTTTTATTAGTGGTCACTAGACTCAAATAGGAAGCGCTTAAGTAAATAATTATTATTCCTATTAGTTTAATGATGGAGCTCGATGTCGCAGTGGTGGTCATAGGATGGGTGACCAGAAATTTACTATCTCGAGCTGCTCAATCAACATATCATCATCATCATCGGCTCTTTTTACGTCCCCACTGCAGGCGCTCAGGCCTTCCCTATGAATGGTTAAGGAGGATGGCCCTCTAATTCGTACGCTGGCCCAATGCGAATTGGAGGGTATTAACGACTGCAAATGCAGCCGGGACCAACGGTTTAAACGTGCCCTCCGAAGCACGGAGTAGCTCGAGATAAAAATATTTTGGTCACCCATCCCGTGACAGACCCTTGCAAAAGTTGCTTGACAATAGCGATCGCAGGCGCTTATCCACTTCGCTATTCATTATTATTAGAAAACATACTCACATTTATTAACGTTCAGCATTCAACAAATACGGTACAGCGTCATCGATGCTGACGTCACCCACGAATCCCACGAAGAAAACGTCCTCCAGAAATGAACCAGTAAATGTTCTTAGCACCGGCAATTGTAGAAGGAGAGTTGCCAAACGTTCCTCTTCTGGTTGGCATACAGATTTCAGTGAGCGCAACACTTTGATCTGGTACTCTTGGAGTTTACGAGTGAGAAAATCTGGTACACCATCTGTTAAATCACATTTGTGTTTATTAATATAATGATAAGATAACAGATATTATTATTTATGATATAAATTTTCGCGATCCCAAGTTACCAATGCCGCTTTCCAGCCTCCAAACTAATGGCTATTTGATAGTTAAAACAATAAATAATGTAATATGTTGGAAATGGTAACTATATGTATGTAAACAACAACTTTCTAGTATTTTTTAATTTAAAATAAGTATACTTTTTTTTTGCAAAGTTACTTGCGATTTATTGTCTTTGGATTGTAAGAACCGAAAATAGGGCGGCCATGACAAAGCGCAGTGTGACGTCACTTTTCAATAAACTAAATGTGGACATATTTGTTGTAAGTACATACAAATATAATTAGACTTTTAATTAAATGCAGTAAAATGACATTTCCTAATGTGAACCACTGGTGGAAAATATTATTTAATTTTTCTGCATCGGTATATAAGGTAAGCACCAGACATTATCTTATACAAAACGTTTACTGAAAATAATAATCACACAACACACAGAAAAAAAAATGAATTCACTTTCATAACTATTGAAATTTTGATAATGAAGTAGAAATTCATTTTCATTATAGAACCGATGTATTTTGATTATATTACATCTTGTATGTTTAAGTAATTCTTAAATAATAGGGTGTAGAAGACTTTTTATGAAATATATCTGAAAAAAATATTTTACAAAGTATCATTCATATAATAAGTTAAAACCTAAAATTAATTAAATTTTCATAATTTTCCGCGTTAACGCCACTTCTGTCATAGCGTAGTTATGACGTCACGGCGTTCTGAAACTAATATCGTTCTATGTATGCATGAGGTTGATTTCTCTGAATTGTGATATGAGTAAGAGGGGCGTGACGTCATGCGCTGTTTGCGATCACGTGACAAGGAGTATAAAATATTAGATTTTTTTTTTATAATTAACTTAACCAATATTGTAAATATAATTAGCATTACAGTGCGATTCTGGGTAGGGTACATTAAATACAACTAGAAGAAAATGGATTTATTTTCATTTACTGTCCACACCCGTATTATTATATTTTCCAGTATAACATTGTAAATGAAAAATTGGTCAAATATAATAGTTATACCAAAAAAAAACATAAAACAATAAGTTTAGCATCATAATTTTATGAATGTTATGATGTCATAACAAAAAAAATGAAATATTAAACATTAGTTTTCAATTTAAAGGTAACATACCCGGTGAAAAGAGACAGAGGGCGCGCAGATGTGCGTGTTCTCGCTCTGACACTCGCAACTGCTCGAAGGCGGCGATGAACTGCTGCAAGCGAGACAGCATACTGCTCACCTCCGTTATACGTTCATCCGAGTAATCAGATGCAGTGATCTAGAATATTGTTCGATTACATTTAGTGACTAAAATTTGCCGTATACATTACCAGATGGCGATAGTGCAAATTTACAAAAAAAAAATTAAATATTAAATTAACTATATTACAGTACAGAGTATTTTATTTTATTGAACTTTTTTTCAGCGTATGAAAAATTTATTAAAGTAAAAGAAAGTTCAGAGTTCTCTGTCTGCCTAATTCGAACTTATCGCACGTTGAGAATGACAATGCCACTAACCAAAAACGACGTATTTTTTACTTTTGGCAACATTTTTCTTTGTTAAGTATAATCTTTAAAATACAAAGATCCCTGTGAACGTAGCTTGCGTAAAAACTGCTAGGTGGCGTAGTGACGATACGTTGTTTAGAGGGGCTGATTACAATTTCTTGAACTTTAAACGCTCATTACTCAAAATCGCATTTTTTGCATTGTGCCACTATCGTTCTCAACGTGCGTTATGTCTTTAACATAAACTTGCTTTCTTAGTGATGTCTTTATTGAAATACTGTTTAATGCAAAAGAAATTTACAATTATTGTTGAAAAAACATAATATTTACCTCAGGTTGTGCTAAGTCAGGTTCTTGCATGTTATCGGAATGAGCTCGTTCTCTGAGGACGGTGTGTAGATGCGACACAAGTTGTGGCAACAAAGCGCCCAGAGACAACGGCTGAGAGAACTTGCACAATCCCAACACAAACAGCTCAGGCCAACACTTCTTCAACAAGGTCACCTGAATCTCGAACCTAACACATATACAAATAATAATGCCCGTATCCACTAACCTAGAAGAAGGCATGGCTTAACTTGAAACCACTTAATATTAAGAATCACGCAAGCAGATTTGTCGTTTCACCAAACGTGTCAGGTAATTCCTTACTAAGCACTTACTTAGATAGGCAACGTTTGTCAATGATTTTACATACTTAAATTCTTATTTTTTTAAATGTAAGGCCTATTTGCGTTTACACATTTCCGCCAATGTCACGTTAGTGGCCTTTACACGTAAAGAGACAATAACAGAAATATATATCTTGAAATAATAAACAAGAAAAGTTATACCTATGTGTTCTTTTATTTACACCAGCTCCCAAGTCGTTATTTTCCATATATAAAAAATTTAGCAATTAAAAAAATCTCATGGTTTATATCATAATTCAAATATATAAATATATATTTAAAAAAATGCTTGATTCCAACTTAATTACTTGATGTTATCTTTTGAGAAATCCGTTATGGCCAAAGAATAAATGTATATGTTACATTACGCAAATGCCCAGCGCGCCGCACTACGCATGTCCTAACTTTAAACGTTGTTTGTTTAGGTGACTCCTTATCCTTGTTGAAACGCATTTCACCTTAGACAATGCTCAAATTAGGGATGTTACGGAGCTTCGACTCCGACTCCGATACGTCGGAAATTCCGATCATTATTATACCTCCGGTTCAGAATTCGAGTCAGAAACTTATAAATCGGAGGTTTTATCGGAGGTCAAAGCGCGCGAGTTATAGAGGCGGACCTCCATCAACCGATACGAACAGGTTCAGTCGCGACGGGCAGGGAGGCGCTGATGCTGGAAGTGGAGTCGCTAAGGCAGAGAAATGTAGAGAGGTAGACTGTCAAGTCTATAGTGTGAGGTAGAAACGCAGCCTATCAGGACAGAGGGAGGGACTAGCAAGACAGTTGGGACTCAGACTCCAGCACTTTTGGCCGCGGCGGTGAGGACAACAAGCTCTGTGACATAACTGATGGATAGGCAACCTGTACCTAAGGCTTCTCGTAAACCGAACACACCTGAGATACCTAAGGCTGAAGACGAAAAAGGCAGTGGTTTTATGGGACCTGAGAATGCATTCCGGGAATTAGATTTGGTGTGGCGGCTACGGGTGCAAAGTTGCTCAAAGTTTAATATGAGTATGTGGCATCTTATCTTTGGTAGTAAGGTCACGGTTTAAAGACTCAAACAAACAAACTCGTTGACCTACGCTTGACGTAACTTGATGACTCTATTACACCGGACCAGCATAAGGGTGGATGTCCTGCGGATAGTATAAGGATGGGCTCGATTATGGAGGGTGTGGACGGCCTAAATGTAGCTCTTATTAGATGTCCAGTCGGAGCTGCAAATCTGCTCATAAAAGAGGGTTGCCTACAAATAGGCTGGTCGGCAGTGAGGGTTAAAGGGCTGGAGTCCGCAGCCATGCGCTGCTATTAGTGCATGGGTGTGGGACATGTCCGTAGACTATGCCCCTCTAAGGAGGATAGGTGAAACATCTGTTTCAGGTGCGGCCTAGAGGGGCACAAGGCGGCCAATTGTCGCGGGAATCATGTATTGGGGAGCAGGATCTGCTCCCCACCATCAAAGGGGATACGACCAGTACCCGTGCCTACAGGCACTAGTGCAGTACCGGTTGATGACTCTTCTGATGTGATCCACCTCTAACGGACGAACAGACGGATACACAATAGTGTATCCGTCCGTTACAGGGGGACAACCGGAGCGGCTAACGGTTTGACGGCGACACAGGCGCACCCTGCCAGGAAACCGGGTGGCGCCTGTGTCGCCGTTAGTAAGAGAAGTCTGGGGAATCGGCCTGCGTATGCGGGTGAGGGGACTTTCTCTGTGGCCCTGGTAGTACATACTAGGTTCGGCCGCCATACACACCGTTGGAGTGTATGCGACGGCCGGGCCAAGTGGTGCTGGGACTGGGGCCGTGCAGAGAGGAGCGGCAGAACCGGTTGATGAGACCTGATAGCTCCTTTTTCAAGGCTGTGGTGGGGCCATACTCTGGCGGAGCCGCGGTCGTACGGGGAAAGGATACACGAAAGGGGCCCGTGGTGGATGCCCGAGGGCGGCTTTTGTGGATCCTTCCAATCGACGAGTTAGAACCGGGAATTCACAGTTGCTCTTATAAAGTCAAGTCAGAATAATCTTTATTTAAATAGACTTCTTAAAAATACTTTTGAATCGTCCAACATTTTTTTCTCTATGAGTGTTCAGAATGTCTTTTGGCTGAGAAGAAAGAAAGATCTGATAAGAAGAAGAAGTGTAAAGTAATTGAAAATATAAAATTCCAGCCCCTCAAAACTATTGGCCGAAAATATTTGTTGTGTCTACAGGCTCGGTAGCCAGCAAATAACTTTTTAGTGATGCTGGCCTTATTTAAGACTTATCGAGTCATAGTTTGACGGAGACAAGGCTTCCAAATCTTTTACTTATTAATATTCCAATTTTTATTTAATAAAATTAAAATTCAATAACTTATCTTTTTATCTTCAGCTCTTTCGTCACCATCTCCGACTCAGACTCCAACTCCGACTTCGGCTCCGATAAAATTACCTCCGTTACATCCCTGGCTCAAATATTTAGGTGTCAGATTTAGGCCTAGTATTACCAAAATGACCACTTTGTTAACCAATTGACTTTTATTTTATTATGAGAATGTATATCATGGTTGCAATATAAATGAGTTTAGCTTGGTTGTCTAGCTCTTTTTATAGATCATTCCCTCAATAATCCAATTGTTAACCTGGTAGGTACAGCATAGTGAACGTAGCTGCGAGCGCGTAATGTATTCTGTGAGTGTAGTGAGCAATTAGTGTAGTTCACCATGTGTGTGTATAGTGTATTCTGTGCACCCTTTTTTAACGCAAGGGAAATGCAACCTTAATCCTAAAACCATGGCTCTCCGACCCCGTACTGAAATAGACAGGGTTAAGCGAGGCCGGCTTATCTGGTACAACGCGCTGCAAGTATCCCACTAGGAAGGGAATGACCCGGGATCCGGCAAGAAGCCCGTCGAGTCCAGGCCCACTATGTGGTGTATCCTCTAAGTGTTACGTGTGTACTCAGTAAGTACACAATGGTAGCACTAGCAATACAGCTAACGTAGCGTCGTATCCTGGCGCCGGCCCCGCGTGAGCGTGAGCGTAAGTGTGAGTGTGTAGTATAGTATAGTGTAGTGTAGTATAGTTCTCATTTGCATTATTTAAATTATCGAGAGTAGCGACAAGAAGTACGGCTCTCACAGCATACTTCGCTTATGTGGAGTCAATTTTACGTTATGCAATTATTATTTAGGGCAATGGTACAGATGCGCAAAGGGTATTTATTGCCCAAAAAAAATGCATAAGATACATATGTGGTATCGCTCCCGACGTCTCATGTAAGCAATGGTTTAAATTTCTTGGTATTCTACCACTTCCTTGCTTATATATATTTGAAGCTGCGAAAGTTGCCAAAAGATACCCTGATTATTACAAAATAGCTCATGAAGTGTATCTCAGGAACACTAGAAATAAAAAGACTAGTTCTTGACATAGTCGCGCGCGATTTAAAAATAACTGCTACTGTATGTGTCAAACTTAAAGAATACACCTTTTACTAGATTTAAGAGAGAGTTATATAACTGGCTTGCTGAGCGTTCCATTTATTCGTTGCATGAGTTCTTAGACTATAGAAACTGAACGGTAGCCTGGGTGTATTAATCAATGCTTATAGTATCTTCCTTTACTACATTTGCATGCTATTGTTAATGGCTGAATAGGCCATAATTGTATTACCTTTTACATCTCTTTTGTATACCCTATTCAAACGCAAATAAATTATTATTATCATTATGGTATAGTGTAAGTGTAGTGTAGTATAGTATAGTGTAGTGTAGTGTGGTGCATACTGACGGCAGCGTGGCGGCGGCGGGCAGGGCGCGCACCCAGCGCGCGCAGGCGGCGAGTATCCGGGCGCCGGCCTCGCAGGCGGCGTGCAGGCGCAGGTGCGGGGGCGCCGGCGCCGGCAGGCTCAGCGACAGCTGCAGCGACTCCGCCGTGCTCAGTATGCTGGAGTCAGCCTCCACACCGCCCCCTACGCGTATTTTGGAAAATGTTATTTATACATAAACAATAATTATGTATACTTTTGCAAAACTAACTTAATGTTTTTGCAGGACAATTTAAATTTATAAATATCACGAATCTATGTTTTTATGAAAAAATCTGTTTATTTGGAGATAGGAAATGGTACTGTTTCGGTAACAGCTAAAATGTTCTCAAATGAAAAAAAATGTGTATTTGAAATAGCTACCTTCAGCTTGTTGAGTTTCGGCGGCAGTGTGCAACGCTGACAGAGGTACTTCAGGTGGGGTAGCTCCGTACGCAGATTGTAAATATTCGTTGATTGCTCCTATGAAATTTAATAAAGACCCCATTTACATGTAATTGTCCATATGGACGTAGGGAGTTCGGATGAGCCGAAACCACTCCAGAATAATTAACTTAAATTCGAAACTCTTGCACTTGACAACACCTGCGTGCTTGTACCACAAAACTTCACACGCTCATCGATAACCGTCACCGGTCCTACAGAATGCGATAATTAAGCGACAGTCGCTATTCCAAGGTGTGATCTCAATATTTCTTCGTATCTTTAGTGACATATATTTCCTTTTTTCTTATCTAATAAAGATAAATCAAAACTAAAGAAAGTTTTGAGAGAAATGAGAAAATTATATTGACTCACCAAACTGACCCATCTTGAACAAATTCTTGGCGAGCTGTGTTTGTAGCATGAGATGTTGTCGACGTGCACCCTCCATATCTCCGCCGCCGCCGGGCAAGTACGGGGACACTGTCATAAATAACACCTCATTTATCTACCAATAAAAAAGCCTACAGAAGTTTCCCGCAATAAACATGCGGACTGACCCATCGACCAAAAAAAGCCATAATTATCAAACTTAAATGTACCGATTTTGATAAGCACAAGATTCGACAAATTCTAAAAATCAAAAAGTATAAAAGATGATGGTGATGAGATGGTGGTGGGTGATAAATAACAACTGTGTGATAGTACCTGGGGTTGGTTTTGTTTAAAGCGACCTAATGAGTGTGTGATATTGTTACCTGGGTTAGTTTTATTGAACGCGACCGCCGCAGCGAGGGCGAAGTTGATGGCGGGCGCCGCCGGGGAGACCGCGCCGAACGCGTCACTCGGCTCCTCTTTAGGATTGATCTGTTGCCATAGGAAAAGAAAAAAAAATGAAACAATTCTTTATTCAAAAATAAACTTATTACAATCTCTTTTGAATAGTCCAAAACTTTTTTTGACTACCACTCGATAAGTTTTTGCTGACAAGAAGAACAAGTGGAAGAAACTTATCAGCACTTTATCAGAAGTAACAAGATTTATAATTAGTACTACTATTCCTTAGGGCGTCCACTTTTTAGTTTTCTAATATTAGGATAAGTTGATTTAAATATGATAAAAATAAATAATTTAAAGAAACACAAAAAACCTGACTGCATAAAAACGAATTTTAAAAAATACATGAAAAACTTCAAATTTTACCATTCAAATATTCCCAAGGGGCCCCGACTATGAGTCGTTCTGTTCCGTATCACTTAACAGAATTCTAAACTACTGGGCTTGTTTCTTTCTTTTTAGTTTTTATTTAAGTTAATTTTAACATGTATTTTTTAAAATTCGTTTTTACGCAGTCGGGTTTTTGTTTTTCTTTAAATTATTTATTTTATTTTATACTTTTTAGTTACGATTCGTTGACTTCGTCATAAGATGGTAAATTTCGCAATCTAGTAATTTCATTGAGGGAGTTAATATCGTGGGGATTATTAAGTAACTTGCGATGGTCTAAACTACTGATGATTAGTCCCTCTAAAGACCTAACTCGACTCAAAGCTACATATGCTTTATTTTTGTTACCAAAAATATTTGTTCTTCATGCTCTTTTCACTGTTTTTTTTTTTGTTTGTATATCTTTTATACTTTAAATAAAAACTTAAATCAATAAGTAAGAAAATTAGCAAGAACACTTTGTTAAACAACTTTAAATCGTTTTATATCTTAAACTTTTATTTAAAATGAAAAATGATAGAAGGAACCTTAGGATGATTTTAAAATACCTATTCAACGACACCCCACTTGATATAGTTCATTGATTTTTTTTTTTCATTTTGATAATATAGTGTCTGGTTGTCGTTGTGGTGAATTTTGATTACTGTCATATCTTTACTAACATTCGCAAGGTTAAGATGTATCGATTGACGTAAGAATCATCAAAATCGGCCTGCGCATTTGGTCTGTAGAACGCCACATAGAAACAAACATACATAGACTGATAAACATATTACCCTCCTTTGCGTCGCGCAGTCGGGTAAAAAATATACAATTTTTGAGCAAAATAATTTGTATATCATACAAAAAAGTTGAAAATCTACCCATATAAATGTAATCGTTGAAATGATAGGACAGTGATTGGATATGTGCTAAAACATACTTTGAATAATACTTGAAAACTAAAATATTTTTTAATAATGCAAGTAAAATGTGTTGCGCCATTTTTTTATGGTCATCGAAAATTTGATATAATATCTATGAAAGGCATTGAAATAAGAGAATATGCATATTATACCTGTCCCTGTTGTCCAAGGCCCAACAGTTTGGAGTAAGTGGCCTGACGATCGTGCAGTCCATCCCTCGTCTCACCTTTAGCTTTATCCACTATCGGTTTACGTTCGTGCTGAACCGCTGTAGACAATGTGCAAGAATTACTGCTCATCGCGTTTTATTATATGAGTTGTATCAATGGGCAATGGTAGAGTGCAAATGATATTACAATAGAAGTGTAGACAACTTTTTACATTTTTATTTTATATATATACATGAAATATATATAAAAAAAAATAAAAGTATTATTCATATAAGTAATTAAGATATAAAAATAAATTTAATTTTTAAAGTTTCCCGCGAAAACGCCATCTTCTGTCACGGCATCGTATGACGTCACGCCCTGACGCCCCTCTAAATCTAATATTTTTTGCTATGTATGTTATAAGGATCAATTCTCTTAGTTCTGATATAAGAAAGAAAGGCTTTTTTTAATTAAAGGCATAATTAATTATAAAAATATTTGTTTTTTCATAATTACTTATAAAAAAGTAATATTATAAATAGTATATTAAACACTTATGTTTGTTTTTTTTTTATTATTTTTACTGTTACATAAATTTTAAAGTTGTGATACGCATATGGTAGGCATTCACTAGTTGGAGTTATTTTATGATACAGAAGAAGCATGAAGTTAGTGAATATCATCTCAGATATTTAAAATGTTGTAATTTTTTAACAAAATATTTTCAGTGGCAAATAAACAGCTGCTCACTTTAAGTTGGAATGTAATGTCAAGGAGACTATCACAGTTGTGAAGGCAATGGGAGTGTTTCAGAACTGGACTGGCTCGAATAAGTCCCAGTCACATTTCACTGTTGAATTGCAGAGATGCCCATAAGAAGAAGAAGAAGAAAAATCAGTGGCAAATGTTTCTAACCGATTTTTCTCTTAGGAAAAAAGAACATTGTATATTTTATAACCTTGTTTGAATTATTAGTATATGCCAAATAGTAAATATGATGTTCATATTTGGTAAAGTAGTTTTAATTTGTATCATTAATCAAACAAATAATCTGTGAAGGCAATGGCAAATTATTATTTCATTCATTAGTATACTCACAGTCACTTCTCATTCCACATGCGAGACACTTCTGTAGTCGACAATACTGACACCTGTTACGGTGATGCTTTGTCACTTCACAGTTCATGCTGCCACGACACTGATAGCCAAGCTTCTTCCTGATGGAACGTTTGAAGAAACCCTTGCAACCTGTAAAGTATCAAACAAAATGAAGACTTTATTTGAATATCTAAACAGCTTGATCACAAGTCAATAAACAAATCAAATTAATTATAACTAAAAAAACTAGCATTATTTTGGTATCTTAAAATTTATTTCAAATTAGAAATGGACTAAATAATCTTAAAGAAAAATTTTTAAAGAATGAGTAGCCCTAGATGCTTGAAATGGAATTAGAACTAGAGACAATTAGAGTGATTGAAAGTGACACAGAAAGATTTCATTCTTATATTGTTAAATTTTAATGTTTATTCATTAATTTAATTGCATCTTTACATCAAAAGAGTCACAGGTTGCCGACCCATGCTCTGACACCATAAGCTACCCGGGACCTAAAGAGATGATGGATATGAGGGGTTAAAAATTCATCAAGTATAATAGATGATTAAGTATAAATATTGAAAAATACCTTCACAACTTATTGCACCATAATGCCTTCCTGAGGCTCTGTCACCGCAGACTATACATAACTCGAGGCCACCAACTTCGGATCCTGGGTTATATTTTATCTCCATCTGATCTTGACTGTCCATTTCTATAACATAAAAAAAAATAATATAGAAGAAATTGACACAGAATTAACATACTTAAATATACTTAAGTTATAAGAAAATCCAAAATATTTTGTCTTTAAATATTGAAGTTTTTTTTGAGTAAAGTTATGTTTTTGATATTATTTATTACACTATAAAGTAGACCTCATTTTCAATTAACCTTTATTGTTCAAAATATTTTATTCTAAGATGGATAAAAATCAAATCTATTTCTTTCTTCTTTTACAAATTTTATATCCCTCTTGTATTTCTTTTATTTACATAGTGGATATAGAAGGCGTAACGACTCTAATTTGGTGTAACAAGGATTTACTACAAGGTTGCAGCCAGTGACACAATGGAGTAACTTCAATGCACCTTTCCCAAAATAAACATTACCTCCTTTCACCTTTTCAGCGATTTTAATTAAAATAAAAAGTACATGATCCTGTGACCGGAGCCTTTTTACAAATATTTCAATAAAGTAACTGTAACAAGGGAGCCGCATTTGCAATCATTGAAGTGAAAATAATTATCAAGCCACGATACAGTTAAAATGCCATGAATCAAAATGGTCAACATACCTTGAAAATTAGCCTGATTGATCAGAGAAAAATTTATCCGATAAGTTTTCAATATTTCTCTCACTAAAATCTACCGCATTTATTTATTCATTGGTATTTTGATAATCTTATGAACATAAATTATATATAAAACACACAACGAACAGCAACAAAAAACTCTTTGAAAAAAATTTACTTTAGGGATGGTGTGGCCATATATCAATATTAAGTTCTCATAAAAACTCAAAATGTCAAGTTTATGACATTAACATCTTCTTCTTTGTAAATAAATGGCTTATCTGCGCATTTCGCACAATTTTGCCAATATCAAGTAAATAAATTAATTTTTACATGTAAAATGAATATGAAATGTCGATAATGCTAAAGTTCACTTTCAAAACATTGATAACCCTGTCATATGTTTTTATAAAAAAGGTCGTGTCTACCTATACTTAGTAATAAATTAAATTAGTTTTATCCTTAAATAGAATAATATCTAAGCAACCTTTTCATCCAGATGCCAGGGAGATTCGTAATTTGTAAATAATATTTTAAGGTTATATCAGCTGTGAAAACTCAAAATAATTGTGCAGCTACTTTACAAATTAAGACATTTAAATTAAAGCTTTTTATTGTTTGATTCGTAAATGTAGAAATAAATTAATATATAATTGTTCACTTTTAACCTTATTATGGAAAAAATATTTTTCCGTCATAGATGAAAGGAAACGTAGCAAACCATAATCATTGTACGGAGCGAATCCCATCAGATTAGTGTAGCAAACTGTCATTGTAGGATCCAAATAGCATAGGGCTAAACTTAAATATCAACACAAATACGAAAAAGTACAAATAAAATATGAGTTGTTTATTGAGTTTTAACGATTAATTTACTTTTATATATGAAATAAAACCGGAAGGATCGTCATGGGAAAATCAAGAAAGTACTGTAGCGACGTCTAGTTTGATTTTGGAAACTTATGTTTTTTTAAATACTTCCTCATGAGGAATCAAACTAGATATCGCTACAGTACATTCTTGATTTCCCCATGACGATCCTTCCGGATACAAAAAAAAATGTGGCAATGTCTCTATTGTTACATTTTTTTTGTCAAATTGAATATATTTTGATGATTTGGTAATATTAGTATGCACCGGCATATGAGACTGCGTAAAAGTAGATCGAGCCGCTCAAGCTCTCATACAATTGATGTGATATCGCAGACTATGAGTACGTACATGTAATTTAATGTAGAGATTTGTGACCTATATTGACAGATTATGCAATCTCATGAGTAAACAAACACTTGTGTTCTCCATATATATTATAAGGGCGCGCTATTCGTGCGATACCGCTCGTCAATATCAAATTGCACGAAAAGCCTATAAAAAAGTTAAAAAATATTATTTCGTGCGATAATAGCCGCAGAAGTTAAAAAACTGAACCACAATGTGAAAAGTCTCACTTAATTAAAATATATAGTTACCCTATCAAAAAGTGACAAATAGCCTCTGTACTTGATATCTCGCTTGGCTCGCATTTCAGCTGGGAGTACTCTGTCCTGTTATAAGTACTAAGTCCATGCGCAAGGCTTATTTTTTACTTGTTCCTTGTCTATGCTAACTCATCTTCTGGACGACAACAACCCACTTTAAAAAGTAAAAATTCAAATGACAGTTTGTTTATGATCTAACCTCGTGTTTTTTTTGTTATTTTCAATAAATTAAAACTAAATCATAAAACAATCGTAAGTTTTATAACTGCGTGGTGTTATGGCACGTCCAGAAATGGAGGATATTATTCATAAGTTTGAGTCTTTCACTGAAAAACCAGTGAATTATCTTACGATACAAACTGGTTTGAAAGATGATATCAAAAATTTTGTGAAAACTCTCTACGATTACACAAAATCGGAGGAAAGTAAAGGTAAAAAGTCTAAAAAGAGTGCCTTGCCAAAGTTGATTGTTCAGGACTTCGACGAGGAGCAAATTTGGCAGCAGATTGAAATACAAAATTCGGATTGTTGGGATCAGTTTGTATGGGAGGTTGCTAACTGCCTGTCTAGTAAAAATGATCTGGTCTTCCCAGTAGAAACTTCGAAACATCCTGCAGAAGCTATGGAGAAGGATATAATAATGTCTGAAGAAGATGATCATTCATCAGACGAAGATGTTCAGTCTTCTGGTGATAATGATACACTTAATACAACAGATACTGTAAAAAAAATGAAGCCAAGAAAAGGTGTTCTTAAGAAAGTGAAACCATCTATTGTTGACGATAAGTTTTTCAAATTACAAGAAATGGAGCATTTTCTTATAAATGAAGAGAAAAAGGAGGAGAAACAGGAAAAGCCAGCACCTGGTTCAGACAGTGATAATGAATCTATTGATCTGTTCAATGATATTGAAGATGATGATGATACTGGGGAAGAAAAAGGTGTCAATGAAATGATGTACTCTGACTTTTTTGATCAAGGAGATAATGAAGAAGCAGAGTATGAGAAAGGTGATGATGTGGATGAATACATCAACAATGAAGACAATGTAAATGAATCTGAAAGTGAAACACATCATCAAAAAAGTGAAGTCAACAAAACAAAACAAAAAGGAAAAAAAGTTAAATTTGCTGACGAATCTTCTGATTATGATGATTCTGATGAGGAATCAATTAATTTCAATGAAAAAATAAGCAAGGATGAAAAGAAATCAGACTTTGAAGAACGTCAACAGCGCTTGCAGCAACAAATATCTAGATTAGAAAATAGAACTTTGAAAGAAGCTCCATGGCAGTTGAAAGGTGAAGTTGATGCTACTAAACGGCCACAAAATTCTCTTCTAGAAGAAGTAGTTGACTTTGATCTTACTAGTAGACCTGCACCTATTATTACTGAGCAGACAACTATTACTTTAGAAGACATAATAACACAAAGAATTAAAGATAAAGCATGGGATGATGTGATAAGAAAAGAGAAGCCAGTAGATGATCAATTATCTTTCCGTAAACCAGAAATTTTAGATCAATCGAAAAGTAAACTTAGTTTAGCACAGGTATATGAAGCAGAGTATTTAAAGCAAAAGCAAGCATTATCAGGTGAAGTGGAAGAAGAGAAAGAGCCTGAAAGCCATGTTGAGATCAGAGAAGCAATGAGTAAATTGTTTTTGAAACTTGACGCATTGTGTAATTATCATTACACTCCTAAAGTACCACATGCTGAAGTTAAAATCGTCAGTAATACTCCTGCTATTTCAATGGAGGAAGTAGCTCCTGTTGCTACAAGTGATGCAGCGTTGTTGGCGCCTGAGGAAATAAAGAAGAAACGTAGAGGGGAGTTGATGAGTAAAGAAGAGAGAACACAGACAGATAAAAAGAGAGAGAGAAGGAAAAAGAAGAAATTACAAAAGGGTAAGGAGAAAGTTGAAAAAGTGACTGACAACAGGAATACTAAGAAAGCTAATGAGGCTAGTGACAAATCTTTGAAGACCTCCAAAGCTTTCTTCCAACAATTGAATGATAATTCTACAAGTTTAATTAAAACTAAAAATAAGAGAAATGTAAAAAATAAGGGACAGTAAAAAATTGTGTAAATATTTTATATACTTGTTATTTCCTATATTATAATACATAATTTTCATTTATTTTCATCATCAGACTATTAATATCCCTACAGCAGTGGCATGCCCTTCCATATAGATGGAATTGAATCATATCCAATAGAGGGAATGGGGCCATGACAGTAGGTTGCGGGCCCGTTGAGTATTGGTGGTGTTAACAAATGCAGATGCTGGGACTGACAGCTAAATGATAAATAATTTGTCATCCAACTTATAATCAGCGTTTGTGAAAATCAATAACTTCCTTATCCACTCCATAAGTGTTAGCATTTATAATATTTTGAATGGCTCTATGGCACAGTGGTTAAAACAAAGATTTACTGTAGAGTAACTCTTTGTTTTTACATGACTGCCTAAATAAAGGATGTATATGAATGAATTATTGAACTTCGCTTTATTTATTTATTGATACTCTTTGCAAAAATGTAGAATGCCGTAGGCATTTTTTATCAATCAACCTGAGGGTGATGTGGAGACAAATAGTTACACAATAGAGGGAAATTTCGTAGGAAGAGACAACTATAATAAATAAATAAAATTTATTTATTCACTCAAACCCAGAATTTTATATACAGTTGTTTATATTATTATTAAGTACAGGGCAAATGCTTAATTTAGATTTTATACATAAGTATATGCACTTACATATACCATTTACATATACATACAAAAGAATATATGTATATACTTACATACATACATTATTAAACAAATACATACATACCCAACTAGCAAAAATATGTCGTATAGCAGTCGCGGCAACGAAAATTATTCAGCATTTTGGCTCCTAATAGAAGTCGTATAAAGGTAATGAAAACGTTTATACAACGCGATTTGGGCCCATTTTATTCAGCAATTCAGTCACATAGACATCGTATAAAGGTAACTTATTCAGGTAAATCGTCACGTAATTATCGCCGAAGTGACTGTTACAAGCTTATGTTGCGCTATAACTGTAACTTATATGACTTTTATATGACAATATGTTTGTCTTATTGAAGCGACCTGGGATACAAAACAGCTGAAAACATTTATAGTAAATAAAATAAGCAAGTGCTTCGACGTGTTGTGTTTTAAAAATTATAATTCATCGGTAAGTACAATTTATTTAGCAGACATGTTAATTTGTAGGTTGCACCAAATGTAGGTTCGTAAACTCACGCATAGGGTTGTAAAGTATTGCGAAGGTAAGTTTTCTGAGGAAATATACTAGGTTGTATCATAAATATTTAACGCCCCCCTTTAATTCTTAGTAATATGAATATAATAACAAATATTTTTATATCAATATTATTTTTGTACACCATTTTTACTGCTGACAGGCGGTATAATAGCTTCTTATACAGCAAATTAGCAGTATGAGCGCCATGATACCACTCTGATTATAGTTTAGGGTTCCTTAGAACTTCCTAAAAAGTTTTCTAAAAAAGACTTTTTGTTTGTTTTTCCATTTATTCCAGACCATTTTCGATAACTGTAAACTACTCACAGCATTTTACACAAAACAATCTAATCGGTGTAATGGATACAATTATACGACATTTTAGGCTTGTAATAGTCGTATAAAAGCGACGTATACTACACAATAGTAGTATAAAAGCAACAATGTTGCTTTTACTCGACTGAGTCAACCTTGCCATAAGAAAGCTATATAATATGCTTTTACTCGACGAAATAGTAACATAAGCGTCGTATACTAGCGACTTATTCAGCAAAATATTATATGACACTTAAGTCATATAAAGATGCTGACTAAACGTTTACTCAGCATCATTATGTGACCGAAATGCTGAATAACTCAAAAGCTATATAAGATGCTTTTATACGACACGTGCTGAATAATTCACACTTACTCGACTTTTATAACACCGAAAAGCTGAATAAACTTTACCTTATATGACTAATTTGCTAGTTGGGTAGGTATAAAAACGCATAATGATTTAATGAATCTGCTTGTTCCAACAGAAAGTTACGCAACTTGTTTTTATAAGCTTATTTACTATTGATTATTCATATATCTAAAAGAAGTTCATTCCATAAAAGAATAGATTTGACGAAGAGTGAAGAATTTCGGAATGAAGAAATGGACACAGAAGTAGACGATTAGAGGAGACGAGGAACAAAGTGGTGTGAGAAGTTTAAAGGACCTATTATTGTTGCTCACATGCTTCTTTCCATTGTTCTTTGGCAGGTCCTTAATTTCTACATGAGATCTATTAAATGACCATGTTTCATATCCATAAGTAAGAATGGGCAATATACAAGTATTAAACAGTTTTTCGTTTAACCATGATGGGCTATGGTTATATGTTAACTCGTAGGAAATGATTTATTTTTTATACTTTCTTTTAGCTTTTCAAAATATAAATAATAAGGCACACTATAATTAGAGCTCCGTAAAGAAGAAAAGTAAAAAAAAAAACTATTTTTAGGTAACTTTTATTTACCGTTTGTTTGTGCTAAGTTTATTAATGTATATGTCGGGAACTATAGGTTTATGTTTGTTAAATTTAAGATTATAATTTGCTAGAAAATAAAGTAGGTAACTAGCTTTAAATTAAATTTCAATTATAAAAATACCACATAATTCCACTTAAAACATAATTTCGTAGAGTTAACTCAAGTAACAATATCATGTCTAACTAAATCTGTAATACTTATGTCACAAAAGATTACGCTAAGTCGGTTGGCTCGTACGTACCTAAAACGGGCCGGAACGACCCGGAACACATCGCACAACACCGCCCGCGCCGCCGCCGGGCGCCGTTACGGCCGCAGTAATTAGCGACGGAAAAACTGCGCGATATGGCGCGAGACGAATCGAGCACGCCGAATACGAAAACACCAAGATGATGGACATGTCCCAAGATCTATTACATTGCGAGAGACATGTAAGATATTCTTTTCTTAATTAAATTAAGGAAGTACTAAGATATACTTTTTTGTTGTGAAATAATTCCCTTATATAAATGGCAGAATCATATTGTTTATTTATTTTTCCAAGTACGCTGAGAGATGCCGGCTGTTTGTATTAGGACAAAAGCTATTGGAAAGTTCTATCCATTCTTGGATGATGTTATTGATATAACGACACAGTTCGATTGGTTGGAGTAGGACAGTCAACTATGTCAAGCACAATGAACCGATTAAACTGTCTGAGTGCAGAAGATTGGAGACTAACTAAATCTAAAGGTGTTGCAGAATAACTTAATTAAAGGTGTTGTAAAACGGAAGGTACCCTTATGTCTCGTAGAGGCGAGCCGCTGTGCTTAAGATCCCGATTAATCTGCTTACAGTGGATCATTCTTTAACAAATCAATCGGGAGTTTAGTTTCGCGCTAGAGCTACTACTTTACAAGCACCTCACCATAACTCCAAATTCACTAGCTTGGTGTTGCATAATGGCGTCCAAATAAGTTTTAATTAAAGATGAGAAAATTATATAATTCTGGTTCTGTTTGTAAAAATAATAATTATTATTATTATATGATAATTATCACCAATTTAAATGGGGATGTTAATGAATTTTCAAAATTCAAACGTGTTCTACATTTAATTATTGAACAAAGAAAAAAAAAAATAGAATCAATACTGACATGAAACCTTTGAAGTCGTTTAGATAAATAGTGTGTGTGTAGCGTTGGTACGCACATGGGTATTTCATTTGCCCCTTTCAGTGATTCGTGGCTTGATGGTGTCGTGTCTATTGCAGTTAGCTTTCGACTCAAAGTTACATAACTATTAGTTTTAAGGTTCAAATGTTAGACTTTTAATAGTGTTTGTGTTTGCTATAAACACAAAATACTTTTGAGAAACAAGATGAGAGTTTGAATAAAATGCAGAAGGAGACAGACAATTTTGTCATTTTGTCTAGTTTATTGTTTACCCTTATTAAATTGTTTACAGTTTGCGAAAAATGGAACAGTCCACGCCATTTGACGCTAATATGGAAGCGCCTAATATCCTAAAATGCAAACTGTGTTGAATACTAAAAATTGCTACAACTTTTTTACAGGAGTCGTGAAATTTTTAATTTTGTCCGCCATATTAACACACACGGCTTGCTGTTGCCACTGCATTGCATTTATTTTTAGTAAATAAGTTTTGAAAAAAGTAAACAAATGTGTAAATATCTACTTAAGTTATAAATGTTAAGATTCTTTTTCTACAACAAATTAAGACAATACAAGCGTGATTTTTGTCGTGAAACTTGGTATGTTTAGGCTACGATTTTAGCAGTTACTTTCTAATTTGATATATAATATAATAAAATCTAAGGTATCGCAAAGAGAAAATAAAGGTTCTGTTCTGATAAAGGAATTTTGTGATGTTATTTCTTACACGTTTCTCATTTGGTTCACAAATGGAAAGCCTATTAATTTGATAACTCAAGTTTATTTCAACTAATAAAGGAAACTCAATTCAACTAATAAAAGAGTCATTAGATTTTTTCACAGTAAGAAGCAGCATTGCAGCAAGATAGCAGCAGGACTAAGGTGAATAATAACCCCTCCCATACACATTTGCCATTAGTATATATGGTATATCATGGCAAATCTGTATGGGGGTCGGGTGTTGTCATTCCAGGCTTCCGCCACTGAAAGTGTTCTTTTTAAGACACAGGACAAGTCTCAAATTCTGCATAGGATTTCTTTTTAGTATTCTGGATTAACATATAGGGAACTTTTTATAACACGAAACTCGGTTTCGTATATATGGTTCTTGAGTGGTTCTCGGGAGATAACGCAGGCGAAGCCGCTGTCGGCGCAGTGTTTCTTCACCTTCAACGCTTCTCCGTCAGCCGTCATCTCATCGCACACGTCTTCAATTTCATATCAAGTCTCACATTGTATATCCATCTGTTCTGTGGTCATCCTTTAATAGGCCCGGCGGCAATAGGCCCGGATCGTCAACTTTTCCCAACCAGGGTAGAAAGTTGATATTGCGTTTACACGAATGCTATAACTGATAACACTCACGCACACACACACACACACACACACACACACAACACACACACACACACACACACACAACACACACACACACACACACACACACGCGCGCGCGCGCGCACACGCGCACACACTCGAGTTCTCTTTGCTAGTAAAACTTGAATCCTGAAAGATAGAAATAAAAAAAATAAAACACAGAAGATGTCAAACATTTGCTAGCTGAATGTGTTAAGAATGAAGCAGAGGGGAATAATTTACTTTTTAATCTTAAGTACATAGGTCGGTGTTTTTTATTGTATCCTAGCATATCCGTTGTCGGATGCAGTTAGAACGTTATTCAACATGGTATATAAAGTTATGTTTCCATAGATCTCTGTATCTTATATATCTGTTATTATCTGTTATTTGGTTAAGATTGGGCTGGCATGATTACTAAGTTCAAAAGACCATAAAAATAAGAATAAAAAAAATTAAATAAAACACATGTATAGGGGTGGTAGTTACTCTTGACGAAAAATATTTTTTT